CCGGCCTCTCCCAAGTCAATCCCTAATACTGTATCATCCTTTTCTCCTTCCTTGTCCTTACCTTCTCTTACTTCCTCCACGGCTTTGCCCTCTTTACCACCATCGAAGTTTTCCCCTTCTTCCACAGATTCCCCTCATCCTCCTGTCGAACTCCCTACCTCCCATGCTACCTCTTCCATGGCTTCCTATTCCCTTCCACTGTCCCCTGCCTCTTCGCTCCCACCTTCCTTGCAGCCTCCTCGGCGGATCCATCCTATGATTACCAGATCTCAAGTTGGCACTCGAAAGCCTCGGGTTCTGCCATCCTTGCTTGCTACCGGAGCTGACATCAGGGAACCAAAAACCTTTAAAGAAGCCTGTCAATTCTCCGAATGGCGTTCTGCAATGGTGGATGAGTTCTTGGCTGTGCTAAAGAATAACACTTGGTCTATTGTGCCTCGTCCTTCAACTGTCAATGTGGTTGGCTCCAAGTGGGTTTATCGTATAAAATAGAAGGCTGATGGTTCTATTGAGCGCTTCAAAGCTCGCCTCGTTGCTCAAGGGTTTACACAACAACAAGGTATTGATTATGATGATACTTTCAGTCCTGTGGTCAAGCCTGCTACCATTCGAACTGTTTTGGCATTAGCTGTGATGTATTCTTGGCCTATTCATCAACTTGATGTGAAGAATGCCTTTCTTCATGGGCGGCTTTTTGAGGTTGTATATATGTCTCAACCTTCGGGGTTTATTGATCCACAATATCCTGATTATGTTTGTCGGTTGAATCATGCTCTTTATGGCTTGAAGCAGGCGCCTCGTGCTTGGTTTCAAAGGTTTGCATCTTTTCTGTTTACTCGAGGTTTCAGCCTCAATATTCTTTAGTATATATATATATATATATATATTTTTTGTACTAACTTCTTGATATTTGAAATTCACATTGAATCTCAATTAATCTGGAGTCGAGGCATGTCAGATCCCGTAAGAGAAAACTCTTTCAGTGTTTGTTTCTCCATTTATAAGATTTAAACTCAAGACCGCTCCTTTCATTTAGACTAATAAGTTGTTGGTTCAGCAATGTATATAAATTATAACATTTAACAGGAATCATAAAGCAGGATTAATCTCTGTTTGGACACAAAATGAAGAAAACAGCAGAGAACAATATATATATATATCTTAAGCCCAATGAAAAAAGAGACAAGATATCAAACTATAAAGCAACTATAAGTGCGATAGTGCTGAAGTAAAGCAGCTTGATTCATTGGCTCAAGATGTTCACTGATGATCTGTGCGTACCTCCCAGAGGAAAGAGAAGAAAGCCTTGCCAGTGAAGCCACCAAGAATTGCTTTGGATCTTTTATATCAGTAAACAATGGATCCTCCTCTTTCTTCCCAACATTATAAAGTTTAACAAAGGCAACAGTATATCTTACATTTTCTGCAACGTCTAGCAGTTTCGATTCTTGCTCCACTCTTTCTTGTTCTGGCCGTGACGAAAGGGTGACAATGGTATGCAGTAATTTCCCCCAGTGTTTAGTAGCTGCATCATCCGAAAGAACTAGAGATTCACAAATAAGCTTTGTTGAAGCTGACAAAGTATCAAAAGTAAGATTTGAGGAATCGTACTTTCTACTTTGATTTCATGGAAATATATATACATGTATTACAGCCAAGAAGAATGGAAACTGAATCAGCTATATACAAGGTAAATATCCTAGTCATTATTACAATATATATAGATCAAATCAAAGATATAGTATTGAATGAAGGATCAATCAGTGATGCAGTATTGAATAGCAACAATCTCGCTCAATCAGCAGTTATTTCCTTGATATGCCCCCTCAAGATGGAGCTCCCATAGGTGACTCCAATCTTGTTTCGAAGTTGAGCAAAACGACGCGATGAAAGTGGTTTGGTGAGGCCATCGGCTAATTGATCAACAGTGGAGATATGGCTCACTCGAAGGACCTTATGATCAACTAGTTCCCGAACAAAATGGAGATCAATTGCTATATGCTTCATCCTGGTATGCATTAGCTACTCAGATGGGTAGCTCCAACATTGTCACAGTAAATTGTAGGACATTCAGATATAGGATGGCCAAGTTCATGAAGTAGATGCTTAAGCCAAACCAATTCAGAAGAAGCAACAGTGAGTGCACAGTACTCTGCCTCGGTGGAACTACGAGCAATAGTTCTTTGCTTGCAGGCTCGCCAAGAAATGGGATTACTGCCGAGGAACACCACATATCCAGTTGTAGAATGATAAGTGTCCTTGTCACCAGCCCAATCTGAATCAGAAAAAGCATGCAAAGGAGAGATCGGTTGTTGACAGAGAAGAAGACCATGAAATAAAGAACCTTTAAGATACCGCAAAATCCGCTTCGTAGCTTGCCAATGAACATCAGACGTAGCATGAAGAAACTGAGATAATTTGTTAACAGCAAAAGAGATATCCGGCCAAGTAAGAGCAAGGTATTGCAAAGAACCAACAAGTTGACGATACGGTTGAGCATCAAAGAGCTGATTCCCTTGATGTAATTGCAACAGGACAATGGACAATGGGGATTGCACAGGCTTAGCATCACTCATGCCAAACTTGGCCAATAGCTCACGGATGTATTGAGCTTGTGACAAAAAGAGACCAACATTGGTAAAGATAACATTCACACCAAGAAAATAATTGAGGCAACCCAAATCTTTGATAGAGAAAGTGGCACCCATTAAGGAAATAATTGATTCAACTAACTTTTCGGTACTGCCCGTAAAAATAATATCATCAACATAAATTAAGAAGTAAACCCATTCTAACTAATAATGAACAATAAACAAGGAAGAATCAGACCGTGAGTTCACAAACCCATGCTGAAGTTCAAGTACAAGGAGCCTCTTTGAGACCATAGATGGACTTACAAAGGTGACAAACATGCTAGGGCTGAGAGCTATCAACAAAACTTGGTGGTTGCTCAATAAACAATTCCTCTTCTAACTTCCCATGCAAAAAGGCATTATTAACATCCAACTAACGAATAGGTCAGTGTTTATTCATAGCCAACGAAAGCACTGTACGAATTGTTGTAGGTTTGATCACCAGGCTAAAGGTATTAAAGTAATCGGACCCAGGTCGTTGGTGAAATCCTTTAGCCACAAGACATGTTTTGTATCAATCAATACCACCGTCCTTATCAAGGAAATAACTGTTGATTGAGCAATTGAAGTCAAAATTGCATGTTGAATGGATTGATCTTGTCTCACCCAAACATCATAAGGTGAGTTTGGAGTGGGATCTATAGGTGGACATGGCCTCATTCCCAGCAAGAACTCGTACAACCGATAGACTTTGAGCAGTGAAATAAATTGCCTACTCCAACTTGAGTAGTTATCAGTAGTGAGTTTCACTGGAAACTGAACAGCAACGTTGAAGGTGATGACATTGGTTGAATTGGTGTTTGGGTTGCCAACAGTTGGAGCGGCAACAATTGCTGGAGTGGTGATGGTAGTCTTGCTTGAGTCTGTTGAGGGGCTTTGGTTGGCCATGGTTTCAGGATCAAACTTGTTTTCAGAGAAAAAAAGGCTCTGATACCACTAACAGAGTATCAAAAGTAATATTTGAGGAATCGTACTTTCTACTTTGATTTCATGGAAATATATATACATGTATTACAGCCAAGAAGAATGGAAACTGAATCAACTATATTCAAGGTAAATATCCTAGTCATTATTACAATATATATAGATCAAATTAGAGATATAGTATTGAATGAAGGATCAATCAGTGATGTAATATTGAATAGCAACAATCTCGCTCAATTAGCAGTTATTTCCTTGATAGAAGCAACTGTAGTTAACTAAGCTCAATAGCCCTAGTGATCAGCTTAATATTTGGTATCCAAAATTGCTCCAAATTCACAAAGAATATACTGTATTGAACAGAATTCGTGGTCTCTGCAAGATTAGTTGCACAATGCTTGACCAAAAAGAGTGACATAAAAATCACAAGGGACTTTAGAAACTTATTTTATAGTTCGACTGTTCTGTAGGTGCAAAAAAATAAATTAGACTCCTCCCCATTCGATCTGTAGACTTTCTTCTAGTAACAATGTCTAATATCACAACCCCAAAGCTAAACACACCTTACTTGCCTTGTGCTTATGTACTCTGGAGCCAAGTAGGCTAAAGTACACGCCAAACTTGTTTTCATATGACCTAACTCATGATCCATCAACTTAGCTGACCCAAAGTCACCAAGCTTAACATCAAAATTAGAATCTAGCATTCTGTTGTTTGACTTAATATCTCTATGCACCACACACTGCTCCTACTCTTTGTGAAGATATAGAACTGCTGGGCCAATCCAAGAGTTATTCTATACCTTAAGGCCAAGAAAGAGGACTCTTCTTGCCAAAGAGATAAGAATCAAGACTACCATTCAACATGAACTCATAAACTAGCAAGAACTCACTTCTTTCATGACACCAACTAATGAGTTGCACCAAATTTCGGTGTCTTCATTGACTAATGAACTTCACCTCTGTTACATACTCCTTTTTCCCCTATTTTGATCCTCTTGAAATCCTTTTTACAGCAATCAACATATCTAGATTAATTAGATAGCCTCTATAAACTGAACTGAAACCTTCTTCACCCAGTTTTCTATCTGCAGAGATATTGTTAATAGCATAAACAAGATCTTGGTATGAAAATCCCCTTGGTCTGGTGCCCTTCTCAAAATCATTATTGATTGATGTTTAATTCATCATCTTTGCTTTAGTCCTTCTCCTCTTCCTAACCTTGATAATCATGGATGCTAGAAATGTTTCGATAAATTGAACAATCGTTGGTACTATAGTACCAACAACTATTTTGATCTTTCTTGATGTATTCCCATTAGTTTCCTCAAAATTCCAAGCTTGAATTGAATTTCCAAGATTTGACTTTATGCTTTTCGAAATAAACTCCTGTAGAAGCGGAGATGCCTACCATCACCCATTTGGCTAGAACCTTCGTCAGATCAATTTCATAACAAAAACTTGAATTTGCTTTTCGAAAAAAAAAAAAAAAACAAAGACCTGAATTTTCCTGAGGATTTCTGGTATTTGGATAACTTCAGGAAACTCTCAAATTCTTTATCGTTGAATTATAAGTAATTAATACATTACCATTAGCAGTATCTTCATTGTGGAAACTCACATTCCAAGAAGTGTAAATGATAGAGCGGAGAGAATTAACATTGATACCAACATTAGAATCACCATCCAAAGGGTCCCATTTAGTGCTTCGGAAAGTGTCGAATTCCACCATGACGATTACATTTGAGGAGGAACCTTTGGTTGTGGTGTTGAATAGGCCAAGGTAGCCACCGCTAGAGTTGGGTGGGATTTGAAATTCGGCTGAAGCAAGGAAAGAAAGCTAGTCCATTGGCAGAAAAATTTGTACCCATCCGGTCAATGCTGGTAGAGAAATGTGAGGTGAAGTCTAACAGCTTTCCCTAGGTGGAGTCCCAAAGCAAGACTTTGCCTGCATAGGTGACCCAACCAACACCAAACATTCCCAATGCCAATCTTGTTAACTCTACGGCTTCAGAGGAAGACACTGTATCTCCCTGGTTGAGAATGTAGTTGGAACTGTGCTCACTAGGTATCTAAAAGCTTATTGAATGTGAAGAGGGTAGGAGAAGATGAAAAAGAAGAATAAAGGAAACACATTTGACACTTTCCAATTTCCATGGTGTAGGAGATGGTGGGAAGCTTATGAAAACTAAAGCATCTACATGCTCACATTTGTATAGCACTCGTTGGCATCCATATACTTGATTGAAAAATAGTGGCGTTTGTATCTAATCCAACATTGACCAGCACCTGCAGTAGTGGATGTAAATATGTAATGGTAGGGTGCATCCTAGACTGTATATACTACTATATTTTAAATTCTTGTGATATAATCTCGTTTTTTTATGTACCATTTTTTTTTTAATTTCTCAATATTGAAAAAAAAAAAAAATCTAACATTGACCAACAAACCATAGAGAAAGTTACATCAAACCAGTCGCATGTTCACGTTAAACAGAGGAAAAGACAGAAAGAAAAAAAACAAAACATTTCTGATGAATAATAATATATTATGGGCAATCACTTTTGGGAAGCAATGGAGCAATTATTTTTCAGTATCTGAATAACATTTGTCCGAAGTCCGAACAGTTTAAAGACTAGCCTTTTGACCTCAGCTTGACCCTTTGTAGGCCGTCGGATCTATTCTTATTCTGACGAGAATCTTAAGATCCAATGGACCTCCTAAAATTTCCAACTTTTTCTCAGTTTTTTTTTTATGCAAATTAACCCCAATTCCTGCCACCTTAACACAACCAAAGGGAAAAAATGTACTTCAAAAAATCCCATTTGTGGGACCTCAAAAATCCCATTTTCCATTTTTGACAAGATAATTTATTTATTTTATTTGATTTTTATAAAACAAACACTAAATAAGCATAATGGCATATTTATGGAAACAAAACAAAAGACTAAATAAAACCAGAGCATGATTCCTAGTTACCCAACTTTCTTAAATTGCAACAACATAAAAACCCGTATGAATGGAGGATTGCCCGGATTAGGTAAATTTACCTCTAGGCAAAGTAATAGGTCACATTGTTATAAGAAATACATAGGCAAAATGGACAATTTAATTAGGGCCAAAAGTAGGTAATTACATCTAGGTAGGTAGGGGGACCAAATTTTAGGGGTTAAGCCCAAGCCATATGATGGTGGACCCAATGGAGACATCATTATCATGGTCATTATCATAGCCTCTCTGATAATGAAAACATTCATTTTGGTGCGCTTTCATCACAATTATTTCATGTAAATTCATTTATTTATTTCTTAAATAGACGCCTAATCAAACACCTTATTTTTAATACATATACTTAAATTAAATTTTGGTTTAAACTCTATTTTGATTTCTTTATTTTAACAAAAAATTTATTTTTAGTTCCTAAAATTTGTTATCCAACCCCTTTTTAATACCTTTGTTATTTTTTTTACATACATAACATGTTAAATGACAAAAATTTTAAAGTAGATGAACTAAAAAGAGATTTTTTTCTTTTTTTAAGTAGAGGACCAAACAGGGATTTTTTAATCCCTTTTTAATTCCTTTTTGGTTCCTTTTTAATCTATCGATTTCAAATTTTTTATCATCTAACGTATCACGAATGCAAAAAGATAATAGAAGAACTAAAAAGAGCTAAGATAAAAAGAGCTAAGATAATAAACTTAGGGACTAAAAATGGGTTTTGTTATTATTTTTTTTTTGTTTAAGTAGAGGGACCAAAATGAAATTTTAACCTAAACTTTTTTCAAAAACCATGCTAATATTATTTTATTTAATTAAGAAATTTAAAATAAAAATTTAAAACAAAAATGAGAAATACCAACTATTAAATCACTAAATTTAATAACTAAACACTTTATATCAGGCGATGCAGATTTTTTAAATTTCTTTCGGTGAAATAACTCTCTTTTGGCAAATGTTCCAATGAGCTTGTAAATTGTTTTTTTTTTTTTTTCCTTTTTTTAGGAGAACATCAAAGTAAGGTCCCGTTGCACATGGCCAAAGGAGCAAGGACTGCCAATGTTTGGGGAATGATTGTAGTTTTAATAAACCATAGAAATAATTTAAGTGTACGGTAAACATTAAAGAAACGTTTTAGTGGAAAGCAGCTAGGCAACGTAGCATTGAGTGGGTGTTAATATGGCTATTATATGTACTTCGTTAAAAAATTGTAGCTTAAAGGCCTAATAAATTGCCAAGTTGTAATGTGAATTTTATTTGCAAAGTGAAATTTTCTCACACGCTAAGTTTACCATGTGAATAAGGCGAGAAGTGTATGTGGACCCTTGTACTTTTCAATTTTATTGAAATCATCCTTTATATTTTTTTTATTTAAATCACTATCTTACTTTTAAGTTGAGTAAAATCCTTGCTCTTATCATTTGGTTGAATAAAATCAATCTAAATTTAACAACTGTTAAGATAAGCAAACATTATGTTTTTTATGTCAACAATTTAAATAATTTCTTTCTAATAAAAATAAAAGTTTTTGAATTTAAATCGTATAATATATAAATGAAATAAGTAAAGAAATATAAGAGACTTATTATTTATTGTGCAATTCAAGAATTTTTTTTAAGAGCTTTACGTATTTTTCTATATAACATTGTTCACTTTTTAATGATGTAGCAAGACATTACCCAAGACACTACCCATTTTAATTGGTATCATACTTAAATATCGTACGTAACATTATAATTATATCTATTTTCCATTAATAATGTAGACAAAATGGTGGGCATAGAACGGGCTTTTCTTAAAGAAGTTGCATGTTCACCGCTTGAAAGCACTTTTTCCATTCATGCCGTTGGATCACATCCAACGGCTGCCTAATTTCCTTTTATTTTTTTAAAATTTAATTCAAATTTTAAAAAAATAAAATAAAATAATATTAATATGACTTTTAAAAAAAATTATTTAAGTAATTAAATTAGAAAAAATGTGTTTTATTTGTGAATTAAATATTTAAGAAATTAATAAAATGCTATTAATTATGATTATGTAATATCAAA